CTCTTGACAGAACTCTATTAGCCTTTGCCCTGCTTCATTTTGTACTCCAAGGCCAAATTTGCCTGTTATGCTGCTTCACATACTTCTTGAGGATTAAGAAAATCTGCCTTGACTGTTATTGGGGCTTCTTGAGCATCACAAGAAATGTCTAAAATGTAGGTTGAAGTAACTCTAGAAGGTCAAAGCACAATGTGGTTGGCCGTAAAGTGATTTCTTGGGTTTACTATGTGTCTAACTTTTTCAAGTCAACCTTTCTGTTTTGGGAAGCATTCTTCATTATTTAGACTGGATCAGATAAACTCTAGTTTCTTTAACAAACAATAAGTAGTGGAAAGTAGTTTATCAAAATGGGTGAATTGTCATATGCTATCCTGCTTAGACTGTAGTGTGGCTATTAAAAATTTTTTTTTTATGAGTATTTCTGCATGTTGGTTTTGAGTTTTGATTCTAGAAACATTTTTCAGAGTTGAAGTTTTTGAAAGAAAAAGTTTCCACCCTTGAAAATCTGCACCTTATTGTATGACAATATGATAGGCTTAGGACTGGTTCATCATCAAAATATCATATGCATAACATGGGCTGAAGGATCTCTAGAAGGTAAGACTATGTGAATTGAACAGCAGTTTCCTGCTCGAATGAGCCACAGGACCTTCATTGTTGCAAGACATGGTTTTACTTTCTATAAAATAAGCCTGCTTCTTCACATAATTGTTAAGAATTAAAATATTCTGCCTTGACATGTGTTGGGACTTCTTCAGCATTTCAACAGTATGTCTACAATGTAGATTGAAAGAAATTTAGAAAGTCAGGGCATCACATGGTTCTTTTATCCTGTAGGCTATGCAAATTCAGTGACAGCTTCCTGTTCAATGGAGCCATATATTCCTGCTCTCCTGCTGCACCCAAACACACAAAGCTTGAGTGCTTGTCTGAATGTTTTCCCATCAGTAAGACTCCTTAGAACTTTAGAGTGAGCAAAAATGACACCCTGGATAAATCTCATCTTGTTATTAGTAGTCCTCAGAGGTATTATTTCCCCCTCCAAAAAAGAAGATTTTTATCCCCTTTATGTGTGTGGTACCTGCACAAAGTCTTATTAAACAACGTTTCTTTCTAGGTGTCCAGTCAGAGGTCCAGTTGGTGGAGTCTGGAGGGGA